AGGCTCCCAGGACCACCTAGAGACTAAGACCCACCAAGGCTTCATGGCCAACCAAGGCTCCATGGCCACCCAAAGCGTCATGGCCAACCAAGGCTCCCAGGACCACTTAGAGACTAAGGCCAACCAAGGCTCTGTGGCCAACCAAGGCCCCATGGCCAACCAAAGCGTCATGGCCAACCAAAGCGTCATGGCCAACCTAGAGACCAACGTCAAGGACAGCTCCGTGGCCCGGTTAGACTTGAAGGTCTACCAGGGCCCCACAGCCAACCGAGGCTCTAAGGACTATCTAGAAACCAAGGTCAACCGAGGCCCTGTAGCCTGTCTAGACCTGAAGGTCCGCCAAGGCTCGATGGCCAACCGAGCCCCCAAGACCCACCTAGAGATCAAGGTCCACCAAAGCCCCGTGGCCCGTTTAGACCTGAAGGTCCCCGAAAGCTCGATGGCCAACCGAGGCCCCACAGCCAACCGAGGCTCCGCGCCCCGTCTGGAGACCAAGGTCAACGCGGGCGCCGTGGCCCGTCCGGTTCTGAACGTCCGACGGCGCCCCGCAGCCAACCGAGCCTCCGAGGACCACCTAGAGACCAAGGTCACCCAACACCCCGCGGCCCATTTAGAGACCAAGGTCAACCGAGGCCCCGCGGCTCGTCTAGACTTGAAGCTCCGCCGAGACCCTACGGCCAACCGAGGCTCCGCCGCCCGTCCGGAGACCGAGTTCCGCCAAACCCCGGTGACCGACTGGGCCGCCCCATCCCGCCCGTGTCCCCGCGTCCCCTTGGGCATCCACCTGGGCTTGGTGCTGCTGACCTTGGGGTCCCTGCTGCTACCGGGCGCCTCGGGGGCGGCGCTGGAGTTCGGGGGCGCCCCGGGCCAATGGGCGCGCTACGGGCGGTGGGCGCCGGGGGCCGGCGGCCAACTGAGCTTCAGCTTGAAGACCAACGTCTCCCGGGCGTTGCTGCTCTACCTGGACGACGGCGGCAACTGCGACTTCTTGGAGCTGCTGGTGGCCGAGGGGCGCCTTCGCCTCCGTTTCGCCATCGCCTGCGCCGAACCCGCCACGGTCCAACCGCCGGCGGCGGTGAGCGACGGCCGCTGGCACATGGTGCTCCTCACCCGTAACGCCCGCGAAACCGCCTTGGCCGTGGACGGGGAGGCGCGGGCGGCCGCCGTCCGCTCCAAGCGGGCCGAGATGGCGGTGGCCAGCGACCTCTTCGTGGGGGGGATCCCGCCCGACGTCCGCCTCTCGGCGCTGACGCTCAGCACCGTCAAGTACGAGGCGCCCTTCCGCGGTTGGTTGGCCAACCTGAAGGTCGGCGACGTGCCGGCGGCGCTCTTGGGCGCCCAAGGGGTGCGGGGCGAGGGGGAAGAACGTTGCGCCCGTCACCCGCCCTGCGCCCACGGCGGCCGCTGCACCCTGCGCCGCGGAGAG